CTTGTAGAACAGACTCTCAGAGCTCTCTTGCCCCTTCTGCCTTGTGTGGCACAGACAGATCACTGTCTGTGAATAAGAAGCAGGCTCTTACCCGGCCCTAGTTCCACAGGCATCTTGGTCTTGGATTCCCAACCTCCATACTGTGAGAAATAAATTTCTGTTGTTTTTAAGCTACCCGGTCTATAGTCTTCTGTAATAGCTACACAAACTGACTAAGACAGTCACCTAGGCGGAAGAACATTTAACATACTATCTATCCAATTAGCAAAACCTTAGGTGTACAATATAGCATTGTTAACTATAGGCATTATGTTGTACAGTACGTCTCTAGGGTTCATTCATCTCACATAACTGAAACTTTGTCCCCTTTGACTAATACCTCCCCATTTCCCTTCCTCAGGTGAATCTGGAGGACTTTATACTAAGTGAACTAATCCACACACAGAGGGGCAAATACTACACGATGCCACTTCTATGAGGCATCAAAAGTAACCAAACTCACAGAGGCAGAGCGTAGAATGGCCATTGCCCTTGTCCCATCTTGATACTCAGCCAAGGACAGAAAGGCAAACCCAGCTCCCAGCAGTGGCGCTGGCGGGGGCTCCACAGAGAGGCTTGGGTTCCCTGTCCTTGTCATATGACCCTCCCTACCCCCTCAGTGACCCTCCTAAGACTAATGGCAGAAGGTTCCTCTGTTTTATGTGGACAAACACACAGGCGAACAACCAAACCTGCCTATCCAGTGCATAGACCCCCACCCTTGAACTTCCATTCCTTGTCCCTAACTGGGCAGGGTCTCTTGAAAGGTGACCTCCAGGGCACATGCATTTTCAGATCAGTAGAGACTAGTGTTTTAAGTTGATAAGAAAACATCCCCCGAAGCCCCAGGTTGGTATTTTTCATTATTTTTAGACTCTGGGATCCCTTTCAATATTCAGATCTCAACCACACCCCCATGGAATGTTTTTAATCATTTTGTCATTTTTGCATTACAGAAATGCTGTGCAGTATACCTCCTTGAGATGGTGTATATTTTGCATACTGCACTATAAGATCATTTTAAATTAGTTTTCAACAATATTCATTACAAAAAAGAGCAGTTTTGACATTTTCCCATTTAATTAACGCTACATGCTACTTAATTTACTTAATTGTGTATGAAAGTACATATGATTTATGGACAAGCAATTCATAATGATGTGGCATGTTTGGTTAGGAAGCTGGAGGGTATCAAACAAGCAGACCAAAGTCTATGTGTTGTGTGCATTAAAAACTGCTTTCAAGATTTAATGTTTAACTTTCAAAAAGTTAGCTCATTTATTTTTATAACTTTTATATATGTTTCTAAATGAAGAAATAAAAGATAAGCTTTCAAATTGTGGTTTACAGGCATATTTCTACAATTACCACAGTGCTGGGTTTGGATGCTTTGTTCCTTCAAAAATAAAAGGCTCAATTAGCTATAATGACGACAATATTCTCCCTTTGCCCAGTGATTTTTCAACGTCTAAGAACAACTCAATGTTGAAAATTGTGGTCTAGCGAAGGCCACAAAGAGGTACGTTTGCAGCCTAAGTGCGCGTTCCGCCTCCAGCCGCTCACGGAACGCAGCTCTACACCAAGCGACATGTGCTCGCTCGGGCCCACCGCCCCTCCAGATGCACCTGTCTCCACCCTGCTGTTCTAAAAGTGGACTTGAACAGATTGTTTCAACAGTGTCCCTTGTGATCTGGTTTCTCCTGGGTTTGGACACTAGAGTTTGAAGGGACTGAAGTTAGACTATTTATTCCCCCGCTGGTAGGCCACCCTGGGCTGGCTGAGTGTCGCAAGGTCTGCGAAAGGGTTCTCTCCCTCGCCCTGCCTCTTCTGTGCCCACGGCTCCCTGCAGTTACTGGCCTCTGACTTCTTCACTGTGCCTTTGGGTTGCGCTATACTCTTCTCACACGTTTTAAATATCCTCTTTATTGAATACTCATCAGACTTCATAATTTCAGTGTGAGTATGCCATCGCTTTTCTGCCTTGGTCCTGACCCTTATATAATATAGGATGATGAGTAAAAATTCGATAAAGCTATGTGATGGCCCTAAACATGGCAGCCTGTGGTGTTCAGCAAATGTTACAGCAACTGAGCCTGGAATTGTGAGCTCTCTCCTCTGATAACCTCTAAATGCCACACATAGGCAGCCAAACACCTATTCAAGGCTCAAGAGAAAATCAGTCCAAATATTCACTTTATTGCTCATTTTAACAGTAGAAATCAAATCTCCAAATATTCTTGAACCATAAACACTCCCTAACAACCCCAAAAGTTTGTAAACCACCCATTGGAAAAAAGTTTTGTGAAGCAAAAATGATTATTTTTCACCCCATCCCAATGGGTAAATTATGGAATCACATGTATAGCCGTGAGTGTGTGTGTATGTGTGTGAGAGAGAGAGAAAGAGAAATGGTTTAAAAATCAGTGAATATATAAGAATCTACAACTCTATCAATAAAATTATGCAGAGTATCAATGTATGAAATGAATTTTGAATCACTTAATCTATAGATGGAAGTAGAGCTATAGCTTTCCTCTAATCCAGGGTAGAAGCCAGCCTCCAAGGAAGGGCTATTCATTATCCACCAAGGAGACTCAGGTCTAATACAGTCCCATGTCATAATTGCTTGAGCCTCTGGGAATTCATGAGCTGCGGGATTATAAACACAGGAGAGGAATGTAATAGTACTGTTGGGTTGGCCAAAATGTCTGTTTAGGTTTTTTCTGTAAAATAAAAGACATATTTCATTTTCACCAATAACTTCACCAATTTGGATATCTTGAGTGTGCTGGCTATCTCCCACATGGTATAATGTTAATTACTCTCAATTAATGTCTCAATTTGATCATTATCAACGTCACCTGGTCTACCTGACCATGGAGCATCGTCCAGTGAGAAATCTCCAGCATGAAACTTTGCAAACCACTTTGACACATTCAATGAGTCACAGCACCTTCTCCATACACTGCACCAATCTTTTCTCACGTATCAGTTGCATGTTTACCTTTCCTGAAATAATAAAGCATAATATGCCAAAAACATTGCATATTTTCTTCCATCTTCAACATTAAAATGGCTATGCAAAAATTCACCAATTTTGATAAGGTTTCTTAAAAAATGCGCTCTGATATGACAGCTGTCACAATACAATCTAACAAAATTGTTTTGAATGAAGTTAAAGCCAACTAAGCACCACCAGAGCCATCATATGGAAAAAAACAAATGAATTTTTGGCCAACCCAATATACGACAGGCATATTATGTGAGCAGTTGGGATCACTGACTTCCCCAGGAGAGCTGGGCGCCCTCCAAGGTGCCAAGATGGCTACCTGAGAACCCTGGGCCAGAAAGCCATGGTCGCAGCAACTCAGTCCAGCGAGTCCAGCTCTTCTGCTCGGTTGACAGAGCCAACAGAAGACAAAGCCAGAAGAGGATATGTAACGTGACACTGGGGAAGACGCATCACAAAATAGAGAATGTTTATTGATTTTCTTTCAGTAAACTTCCTCTACCTCTATTACAGCTTGAAACTTGTTGAGGTGGAGCCAGTCATTAGGCTGAAGTGAAGAACCTGTTCATCCACATCCTTCCTACTCTCCACATCTCCTGTCTCAATGTAGGTTATGCCTGTTTCTTCTCTTACACACACACACGCACTTTTGTGGGAAACGTCGATAGTCTACAATCCACTAAGTCAGAGTAAACCCACAATCCCCAAGGCAACCCCAGAAAGAAAAGGGGTAGATGGACCCAGGGAAGGAGGACCTGTGGGAGTCGGGGGTTGACCTCCTCTTTCACAGCCATGCAAAGTGGTTGATAAGAGTCACTCTACTCCCCGCTTCCTTCTGATCTTCTTTGTACCTCCTCCAACTTTCAAAATCTGTTCTCTTTACAAGGCTGGAAAGGAACCAACAGAGAGCCACTGAACTAAACTGGAGAAGATAATACTTGTTATAATGAAGGGCCATAGCCTTGAGGGCGAGGTGTGCAGCCTTCCAAAGTAGAACTTGGTAACCAGTGGCTACAGCATAATATTTTCCTACTAGGCACTGTGCAAACAGAAAAATGAATGAAACTCTTTCCAAGTCTCACTCACTCTCAACATTCCTACATCAGGCAGCCAACAGTTCCTTGTATCTCGTTATTGTCAAAAATTTCGTGCTGGTCAGCTCACCACAGCATTTGACCCAAAGGAATAAAGAAACAAATTAGGAATTGTTCACTGATGAGGGATCTATTCTCCAAAATCGTATTGCTCTCTACCAAATCAAAATGCCCTTTGTTCAGTCCAGCTTACTACTGATATCTATTGAAAAAACAATATCTTTGTAGCGTGATTCACCGGAAGTTTAAGCTTCCCACAGGGGCCTTTCATGACTAAAATGGACCTTTGTACATTGAAAGGAATCCATAACCCAAATCTGTTTGGACTGATGTCATGTAGAATGCGGGGTGTCCGCTAGCACACCAGTCATACTAAGGGAGACAGAAGACATAAATAACCACACATGAGAAGGGCATCTCTTTCCGGGACCTGGGTAAAATCCTAAGGAAGCCACACATTTCCTGCTTCCACTCAACCACAATAGTATATCAACAAAAGCAGTGTTAATCAACAACCCAGTGATTTTCTGTTGCTGATCAAAGAAGTGTGGCAGGCCAGTAGTCCTCACAAGGGGGTACTGACACAATAGGGAGAGCTGGTTTTGAAACATCAACAATGAAATCCACCACAAACGGGTATCAAAATGTGGTAAGTCTTTGTATTAAGACCTCTGCCTCCTGCAGTGAGTCCCAGAATGACTAAAATGGCTCGCAAGGAAAGGGGACTTGGAGAAAGAAGGCCTTACGGAAAGGTAGTGATGTACAGACACGGGATTCAGGTGACGGGACTCATCTAGCTTGGGTGCTTGTCAAGGCCCGCGGAGCTGCGCGCGGCACCTGGGTGCTGGGCCCCTTACCTTACCACACTGCTTACATTTTCCCTCCTGCCGTCGCCTGTGCACCCAGTGATGACGCACAAAATTCTGTGGAAAAACAGAAGAAAGTGAATCTATTTAAATTTGCAAGCCCTCATGTTAGTTGGGTTTTCTTTTTTGTTTTAAGAATATAGTTTTCATAAACTATCATCCAAGAGCACATTAACACAAGACGAATATGTGCATGTGTGACTTATTTAACCATAAATGTGAATCCACTTAGAGAAATGAAGCTAACTCTCCATCCGTGGCTGCTCAACACATCCGTCCTTCATGTCTCCCCAGTGACAAATGGCCACAGCAGGTTGCTCTTCCTCTACTTCGCTCCTAGTAAGACCCTGAGCAGAGTTGTGAGCATATCAGGGGCCCTCAGGCTGGGAGGTAATGAGGCAGGTCAAAGAGAGATCCTTAGAGGAAGGAAAAAGTGAAGGAGAGAAGCAGAAACAACAATGTCCAATATATTTTTAACAAATATGTCTTTAATGCTTCCTTATATGCCAGGCAGGCACCATACTAAACATTTGAGCTAAAAAGCACTTTTAAAAAAACACAAGTCTCAGACAGAACTGGATGTCCTGATTCAGGACAGAGATGGCCAGAATTTGTTGCCAGGGAAAGTGAAGAAAGAGAAAAGGTGAAGGAAAGAAATGAGAAGGACAAAAGATGTGGGCATGTTGGGAGCTTTTTGCAATGACACTGAGTTTTTAAGTGTCCTTGGGTGCTCTGAACTAGATCAGCTTCCAAAGTCTATTCTTGTCTTGGGCTACAGGAAACCTGGAAAGTCCCTTTGCTACAAACAATCGCTCCTGAGGCAGAGGGGTCAAGGAGTGCCCTTCGCCACTGCTCTTAGAATAGACACATCCTCAGAAAGTTGTCTGCAGGCCTATCTCATGGTGAGGTAAACCATAATAACTCATATAATTCATTCCCCTTAGGCTGATACACCCAAAATACCTGCTAAGGTTTTCTCTTCTGCCCTTTTCTGAGGAAGTAACGCTTTACCTGAGATTCACATGTCTACTGAATGTCACGTCACCTCTGCCTTCTCTTTAAAAGGCCTTTTAAAATAGATTCAGTCATTTGACAAATACTAAATACCTACTGTCTGCCAAGCGCTGTTCTAAGTACAGAGGAATGTAGGAAATGGATCAGTGTTGAGGAAAAACACAATCATATCAAGCCATAAAATTCAGAGTGACAAAAATACCCCAAACAAGCATTCCCATTATCAGTTCCAAAATGCCACCTCTATTTCTCTATATAATGTCAAATCAATTTAAATTAAAACTAAACAAAGATTCTGGAGGAATAATGGTCTTTTAACTCTAATAAGAAAAAAAGAAGCATAATGGTCTCACTAATTAGTCTAATTTTTGTCTTGCATTTCCCACAGCGGCCGTTTAATAAAACACAAACATAATTCATCCACAGATATATATATTCTCAGAGAGAAGCTAATAATAATAGCTAACATTTGTTGAGTGCTGTATGCCAAGTCTTTTGAAAAAGTTTCACATGTGATCATTCTTTTAATTTCCATCAAGACAGCAGAGGTGTTGTTTACTTGGTACATACCAGTAAAATCCTAGGAGCCGTTCAATACCGAAATACTCCTATTTTGGCGGGTAGACTGCAATTTAGCGGCCCTGGCATCCCGGGCTCCTCCTCACCCACCGCAGCGCCTCACCACCGCCCCCTCCACGCCGCAGACCCTCTCTACCGCCTCCTTATTAAGCAATGAAGATGTCAATACTCTGCAGGGCAGCTCTCCAGGATTCATTCCTGATGAGCCCTCTTCTGAAATCAAATCATGTCGCCTGGGCAAAGCCATTGGGCTCCCCCAACAAACTCAGAAGTCGAGGCTGTGCCCAATTCATGTGGCTGTCTGTGACAGCTGAAATATCAACAAAGGCAATGGTTTCCTACATAAGATATAGGCAATGCTGGGTCCCAGGGCTCTCAGGACAGTGGCGGCAGGTCCAGGAACCTGCCTGGTTACCGGCTTCCACACACACCACTGGGGTAAGAGTACTGACCGCCCACCTCTGCCTCACAGGTGAGACCGGCCCCTCCAGCCTCCCGCCTGCTGAGGCGAGAAGGACGTTAGCCTACTGCCTGTTTCGGAGCAACGGCTGGGGGAGGCAAGGGCCAACTGCCGACTGTGCTATATCCCAATTCACACTACGGTAGGGCACATTATCCGGGGGCTTTACCTGGATTATGGTTATCATCCTCACCTTGCAGGTAAGGAAACTAGGGCTAAGAACGGTTACTTAAAATGGGAGGGCCAGGGTCAGGGTTTCGTCCCAAGCCGGGGGGCCCAGAGCCTATGCTCTTAGACACCGTGTCACCGTGCCTCTCCTCTGCTCTGAAAGATCAGTTTCAGGCTCCTTCCATAAGTGACTTTGGTGGCAGGCAGCAGTGGAAACATATTGACTGAATATGTTAAAGTGTCAGACAGTATTACAAGGGATATGAAAATGTATTATAATTGCTGTAAGTTTAGCAAAAACTAGGGAGAATGAACAATATTGTTGATGGTAAGAAAAATTCTCTGCTTGTTGGCATTATAAATCGCCTAATGACTATTTAAGGAGGAAAATGTTGGAAGAATTTGACAATTACCCATGTGAAATCACGGCTAACTCATGAGACCATTTAGCTGCTGACAGCTGTAATCAAAAGATTAAACCAACAATGTCCACGAATCAACAATTACTTGGAAACTACAAGACTGACTTATCACCTGTGTGGCAATATATAGTGTTTGGTAAGCAGATATATAATACCGCATAGTTTAGCTTATTTAGGGAATAAAAGAACATTATAAAATTATTTCAATATTAATATATATGACTGCAAGTGGTTAAATATTTTTAACATTATACTACCTAGGAAATAGGTAGGAAACTAAAAAAACTAAGCCACAGTAAGACAAAGCAACTTAAACAAAAGCACTGAAAGAGAAAAATACCAGTTATTATACTAAATATACAAAAGGAAAAACCGAGCAACTGCTCCCAATCCATTGATTGAGGTGTCAACAACCTTCTGTACAGAGGTGTTCTTAGGCCTAATATAATTTATTCCACCAATTAAACATAGTATGAGCAAAGTAAACACTTAATAAATATGGTTTGAATGGAATGGAATTCTCAACCTAATTTCTTTGGTGATTAAATCATGTAATTGCCATTCTGAGGGATCACCAATTGCCTTTATCAATTAGGAAAAAAAAAAGTCGATAGAATCACTACTGTCTTCTAATCCTTATTTCTTAAGAACTTTAATTTTTCACACTACCCCCTTTTGACAATTATTTATATCTCCTAAATTATTGAACTGAAATTAGATTCAGGATCCTCACACTGTACATATGAGTGTTGATACACTTATTAATATAGCCAAACAAGGCTTCTGACACCATACGACCCTTCTTTTAATTGTTCATCAACAATCTCTGAATTATTCATATACTGTATTTAAATACTATAAAGAAAGAGCTATTACTTAGGGGTGTTAAAATCCCAGTGACACAATATTTCAGGGTTTATATTCACTATTGTTAACAGAAATGCAAAGCACAATTCCTCAATTATTTTCAAACAGCCAGTTCAATGCATAATATTATTCATAGAATACTTGAAAGGATCCCAAAATTATCATTCAATCCATATAGCTTATGTCCAAGGAAAATGAGGTCCGCGAAAATACAACTGAGAAGTGTCCAACCAAAATTCATGAAAAATCTTCCATGTCAGATACTCCGCAAGCGCAGTGTACAGTGATCATTAATCCCTGCTCTGGATCCCTCCTCTGGATCAAGACTCCACAGAGTGCAAAAGAAGCAGAGGTGTCGCTTGAACCCAGGTCAGACAAATTCTAAAGTGATTGTTCTTTCATTTACATTGAGTAAACTACCTAAGGTCCCTTAAGTAAGATCCTCAAATGGCTCATAATCTATCATAAGTTTCATCTTCACATTGTCCTCTTAGACCAAGAATTTGTGAACATTTTGGGAGAATTGGACACTTTTATAAATGCATTTAGTCAACAGATACTTATTGATCACATCTTCCATGTCCTGATACAATGAGTTTAGGACACAGTCCATGACCTCCTGAAGCTTATGCTACAGAAAAATGACAGCAAACAAGAAAATGAGTAATACGTATAAATTACAATGACATACAAAGTGCTCTGCATGGGGCAGAACAAGGTGCTCTGAGAAAAAATAATGTGCGACCTCTGTCATTAAGGAAGACCTCTGAGGAGATGCTATTGGAGCTGAAGCCTAACTGTAAGGAACAGCTAGCCATGCACAGATTTCCAGGACAGCAGTGGCGTACACAAGTGTCTGAAGGCGGGATAGCTTGATGTGCGCCTCAAGCACTGAAAGGAAGCCCGTGTGGCGGATGGGTGTCCGTGGAGAGGTGGGCTGGGGCCAGGCTCTGTGGAACTCCTCAGCCACAACAAGGGGTTGGGTTTGGCACAGGGTGCCATAGAAACTGAGAGTTTTAGGCTGGAAAATGATGTAATCCAATTGTCATTTGAAATGATCACTCTCTTAAATCATGGTATGCTGAAGGACAAAATTAAGGAATCATGGACAAGCTAGTGCAGTGGTCAGAAGTGAGATATCACAGTGCCTTCCTCTAAGGCACAGGCAACACAACTGGAGGTAAAGAGATGGTTTGAAATATATTTTATAAACCAAATTGATAGGGTTGGCAACTACAGGGTACAGTGATCATCAATCGCTGCTCTGGACCCCTTTATATCTCCTAAATTATTGAACTGAAATTAGGCTCAGGATCTTTACACTGTAACTATGAGTGTTGATGCACTTATTGAGTACATGAGAGTACATGAGAGAAGGAATCAATATAACCAGTTTTCTCAATTGAATAATTGGATGACTAGCCATCTCATTTTCTGAGGTATAAAAGAAAATCATTTTTAGGGTGATGGAAATTAGCTTAGTCTTTAAAGAAGGTTTTATTTATTTCTTTTTAGAGAGGGGGAAGGAAAGGAGAAAGAGAGGGGGAGAAACATCAATGCAAGAGAGAAACATCCATCGGTTGCCTCTTGTACCTGCCCCAACCAGGAGCCAAACCTGCAACCCAGGTATGTGCGCTGACCAGTAATTGAACCAGCAACCTTTCACTTTGCAGGACAACACCCAGCCCACTGAGCCACACCAGTCAGGAAAAACTTAGTTTTTAATGCATTCTATTTGAGAGGACTGTGATACATTCAATAGGCATTTCAAACAGAACTCCAAGAAGACATCATAGCCAGGAATTGTCAGCCCAGATGTGATATTTAAAGCCATGAGGTTAGATGAGCTCTTCCAACAAGAGTGGGCGGAGAGAGAACATGGCCAAGTACCAACCCCAGAGGAATACGCAGAAATCCAGGGTGGGGCGGGGAGTGGAATGAGACAGTGGGAAGGACTCCCCAGTGAATTAGAGAACCAGTAGGAAAGATGTCAAGACAGGAGAGCATTGAAAAGGAATGGAGCATTGAACAATTTAAATGCATTTCAAAGATTGAATAACAAAAAAAAAAAAAAAGAAAGAAAAATATCTAATGGATTTGGCATCAGAGAGATATTGGCAACATCACAAAAGCAATTTCAGTGAATGGGAAGAGTGAAAACCAGATCAGAACAAGTTAAAATGACTAGGAGGGGCCATACTGTTTATGCATAACACTTCTGGAAGTTTATTTAGCATGAACACAAAACTAAGAGAGAGCCATAGTTAAGACACAGCTGGTGGTTAAAGAATATTTTCATTTGTTTATTTTTTTAAGATGGGAGTTATTAGAGCATGTTTATGCTGATGAAAATAATCTAGAAGAAGGGGTGAAAATGTAGGAAGGACTAAATATCAAGGCCTTATGAAGAAGACAAGGGAAGGTTTCCAAAACAGTCATGGAGGTTCTGACTTCACAGACAAGAAATGACAACAGTGAGTGAAAAGTAAAAACCAACAAAATGCTTGTCTTAGAAAACTGCACATACAATAATAATTGTCTATAAAGAAAGGAAGAGAAGGTAAGAACACAGAGCTAAAGGTGAACATGTGGATCCCCTGGTCAGTAAGTCATAAACTCTACCTTAAAAACACTCAACTCCTCCTCCTATTGTCCTCCATGAAATTTCTCCTTCACTTGAGCTGCCACCGAGTTAACTCCTGGTCAGCGCTGTAGGGCGCCGGGCAGCACGACCCCATTGCTTTCCCTAGACTGTCCTCACCCTACACATGACCCACAGCCTTCCTGTTGCTGACAGAATGGGCCACAGTGGGAGAGGACAGCTGATGGGAATCACTGTTTTCCTCTCTACAGGACCTCCATCCCAGCCTCGTCTCTCTCCCGTGTATTCTCCCAGTCTCCTTGTGTTACTCAGGAACAATGAGATCATTCTTTTTCACTGTCTTTTTTCATTAACTGACATTAAAACGTCAGTGATCTTTCTCTACTCAGACATATTCTCTTCCTATTTTACCCATTCACCTAGTCTCATTGCTTTAATTACTACCTATTCATGCTGACAATTCACAAATGCCTCGCTGGTAGCCCAGTCTTCCTCATAAGCTCCAAACTCACTTCCTACTTAGCTTTCAATCGGGCATCTCCAGCTGGGGGCCTCGAGAACACCACAAACGTGAGAGTTCCACAGCTAAACTTGTCACATACCCACCCATCCTCAAATCAACTCATGTTCCAATATCTAATTGGTGTCGTCCGGAACACAATCCTTCTGGACTCCTTTGTCTTTAATCCAACTGTTTACTCCACCCTGTCAATTTTGTTTCCTTCAAATTCAAATCAACCGATTTTGTTTAATTCCAATATTAATATTAGTTCAGATCCCCATTATTTCTTGCCTGGATTACTAAAATAACCCCTTAAGTTTTCTCCATACCTTCAATATTGCTACTCTTGAACTCCATGGTACTCTCTCCACAGTGTGGCCGGAATAATATGCATTCTGCTTAGAATGTTGAATGCCTCCCTCCCCCAATGACTGTGATGATAAAATACTCCACTGGCAGCACGGCCACGAGAACCTCAGAGTCTAGTCCTGCTCATCCCTGGGACCATGTGTCTTACTTGCTATGCTCCCTCTCACATTCTGTGTGCACACATTCTCTGTCTAGAAGGTGCTCACTCACCTCCTAACTACCGCCGCCTCCACATAGATAACTCCCTTGAGTCTCAGCTTAGCTGCCACCTTTTCCAGGAAGCCCTTTCTGTGACCCCTCCCCTCTCTCTCCTATTCCTCACTACACAGAGCTAATTTGAGCAGTGCCCTGGCTGAGAAGGTTTCCAAAGAGGGTCAATATATAAAAGTAAACTCAGTGGGATGGAGAAAGTATACTTTCCAAAAATTATATTTGCCACACTTCCTCTTTGGAGAGCACCACATGAGATGGTAGGGGCTGGCCAGGCTAATCCGTGTTCCTGAGGGTGGGCTCTGTTCGTTGCAGGCTCGTTTGGCGGGATGGGAGCGCCACTGTGGGCCTGGGGCTACACTCTGAGGATAGCAGAGGCTGACAGCCTCTGCCGACACCCTCGTCTTCTCTAACTACACGCAGGGCTCCGTCGGCTCTAAATGGAAGCTGGACAAATACATGGGAGCAGCTCCCCTCCTGCCCTCACGGCTGCTCGCTGCTAACACAGCGGCCCTGCTCTTCTGTGTTTACGGGCCTGTCTCCACTACCAGGCTGCAAGGGCAGGGACTGATCCCTGGTTGTCACTCCTTAGATCCATCTATCTATCAATTATCTGTCTGTCTATCTACCTACTTCCCTATCTTCTATCTTCTTAGCTATCTCCCTATCTCTCTATCTCCCTGTCGACTTACTTGACAGATGAAAACATTGAGATGAGAGATGAGGTGAGAGGCCCCAAATGACACAGCACCAAGGCTGACCTGGAAACTGGATTGTCTGACTCCGCTGTTTACAGGAGTTCTCAGTAATGATGCTGCCCCTGAGTAGCTTCTGCCCACTCAAAATTGAAAAATCGAATTAAAATGGACCTCAGGACAACAAATGCAACTGCTTTCTTGCCTCTTCAGTTCTACCACGGCCCCTACCCCTGCTCTCGGGTCCACCCGGTAAGGACTTCGCTCCCCATACATTCTGCAAGAATGAAGGGCAGTATACACTCCTTGAAGAGACTTGGGGACTTTATTGACTGCATTTGTTGATTTATTAATAAAAAGCTGATGTGAAATGGGGGGGGGGGTGCACTTTATTCTTTAATCCCTGATGAATATCAATAAAGCCTATGAATCTATGGGAAATTAAAGCTTGTATTTGAAATACAGCTTTGCAATTTTGAAATACTCTGTTACTTGAGCTCAGAAATACTCACTTCTCTTGGAGATCTTGAGCCTCCTTCTCGAAACGTTGGTTTACATCTGAAATTAATCTGTCATTTAAAAAGAAAAAGTGTATTATATTAGGGATCAGACTAGAATAAGTTACCTAAATAAACCAACAGTGACAGATACTGAGATTACGAAACAAAGCCCCCAAAGAATGAGGGACAAATTTTAACACTATTCTTAGTCTTTTGAAATCATCACCGTAGATAATCTACAGAAATCCCAAGGGATTCTATACCTCCAATTCATGTCTCTTCAATTTCACTGATGGAATCGACGTACCTTTAAACAATAAAGCTCTTACACTGTAAATGTGAGAAACTGAGATAATAAAGTCGGACAAAAAGTGTAAGGCAGCTGAAATCACCCATCTGTGTTTCAGATTTTGAAAGTAGGAAAATATAAACTTGGGAAATTTTTAATATGAGGATGATGATTCACACACACACACACACAAAAATTAATATTTATTTAAATATTCGGTGCTGCCTTTCTTTTAGACAGGGAGGTCTCCCAGTCATTTACATATTGTTTAGCGACATGGTAAGGTGGAAGGAATGTAGGAATGAAAGAGGAGAAGAATAAACGGGGTTGGGAGATGAGATAAAATATTGAGTAGTCATTCCCACATACGGCAACAGTTGGTAACGTGGCCGTAAAACCTGGTGAATGTCCCAGCAGGCTCAAATCATTCAACACATTTACCCAAGGTAGCTCAAGAACATGCATAATGCAGAGACTTACATGTGGAACTGGAGAAGGAGGCACGAGAGGAGAGAGGACAGCAGGCAGCTCTCTATGGGAGCCTCCCCTCTCCCCCGCCTCCATCACAGGTAAATGGACTGTGCAGACACCACTGATTTGGGGGGAAAGACATGTCACTTCCGGCCACGCCCACACGTTGATGCTGGGCAGGCGGAACTCAGAGCTGCCTCTGGCCTGGCTCGCTCCCTGCAGTCACTCTTGGATGCAAACTCACACTGGTCAGACAGAGCTAAACAACAATTCTGAAGAACTTACAGAATTTTTTTTCTTTAAGAGAAAACATCTTGTGAGAAATTCTGAGTGAATAACAATCCTCATTGTTGTGAAGGAATTTAGTGCCTACCAGGCTTTTCTCTCTAACCTCACCATTCTTTCTTCCAAGAGTCAGGGTTAAATGATAGCAAATTAGACTTTAGCAAACAGCACAGCGAATGAACCTTAGGCAGTGTCTTTCCATTATTAATCTGGTAATAATGCTGAAGTTCCAGCTTTTTAAAAGGGTACAGTTTTCTAAAAGTTGGAAATAGAAATTGACACCTGGTCTTGGAAACCCAAACACTTTGCAAGGTAGCGAAATTTGCAGCAGGTGGCGCTGTCTCACCTTTTCTAGCTGTTCGATGCACGCGGTATGGACGACGATTTTACAAACCGCACACTTCCTCCTCAGGGCCGATTTCTACAACATTCAATTCAAAATACAAAAGGAAATGTTAACATTCTGCTCTAGAGAGGCCCTTGGTCGTAAACAGAGTACATGTAAATAAAGCAACCACTGTAATTGTTTACAGTAGAAAGCAAATTAAAGTTTTATACCTTAACCGTGCAAGAACATAACAAACTTCATCAACAATGCTCTTACTTACCAAGTAGCTCCATATCCCCATGACTTGGAGTGGCTTAGAGTTTCTCTTTAAAAAGTAATCATTACACTAGCTGCAATATATTGAGTATATAATGTAAACCAGGCTCTTTATTCTAAGTTTCATAAGCTAAAAATGTAGGCATTAGTATCTTTCTTTTTTTTTCTTTTACTCTAATACTTACAGGGCCAGCCAACCAACATTTAAAGTTCAGTGTAATTTCAAAACGAGCATTCTACCCCTACTGCCAAAGGGTCTGCTTTTCAAGGGGTCAAACAATTTAGGCTCCTATCCCAGGCACAAGTCTATATTAAGCTGCGTGGGTTTCTGCCCAAATCTTCAGGAAAGCACGAAGATAAGTCTAATTTTTATGCCCAACAAGATCAGCTACCATGATTTGGCACTTTCTATCTGCCGTTGACTCTTAAAAGCACTTCACAAATAGTGACTCATTTAATCCTCACAGCCCTAAGAAATAGGTACTATTCTTACTCCCATTTTACAGATGAGAAAACTGAGACACCGAGAGTGATATGCCTAGGGTCCCATAATTAGGGTCCACAGAACCAGGTCGTCTGAAGCTAGAGCTCATGACTATAAGCATTGCACAATTTGGCATGACAGTCAATACCAGCTTAGAGTCACACTAAAAATACTTCTTGATGTGTATCTTTTCTCCGACAATAAAAACAAGCAAAGAGAGAGCGGGGGGAGAAATGGGGACTCCGGATTCATTCCCACCGGTGCCACGTAAAGGCTTAGCTAGGAGCATTCATGCCCCTCTGCGGAGCACAGACAGGTCGGCTGCTCTGCATGAGTAACTCTGGGGCTTCAGCCCTGAGGGAAATTCACTCTAACGAAGCCCATCTGTGAAATAGCTGATCAAGGCTTCCAAGTGAGAACGCCCTGCATCCCCACCCTTGCCACGCTAGCTTAGGTTGCCACAACGTCCCTGCTTCTGACATGAGGCTTCCGGGCTGAGGTGTCATTTTGGAGCCAACGGTGGCAGGCAGATGAAAAGGAATATGGATTCCTCCTCCCAAGGAGAATCGAAGGACCAAACAGCCACCTTGGAAAGGGCAGTCTCAGAAAAGAAACTGTAGCCACCCCTCCTTTGGTGCGACTCATTCAACAGGGGCTACCCTCAGCATTACCAGCCACCATCCCAGGACCCAGAGCACTGCCGCAGGGCAGCAGCCGAACGGGGGGCCCGCGCAGTCCACACGCCCGCTGCCTGGGGTTTAGCTACCCTGCTTGCGGGCGCTGTCCTGACTCCTGGCCTTCCTCTCCTGGAGAAAAGAACAGTCTGCACCATTAAATCAGTTTGACTGTCAACTGATTTTGCAAATAAGAAAGGCTAAGGAACACCCAAGCATCTGGCTATGCTACTGAAAGTGTCTTGGCTCTACTACTAAAAAGAAAGTGGGGAGAGGAGAACTAGAGTAAGTAATAGTGAGGGCAGTAGTAATACTAGTAGTAGCAGCAGCGGCAGCATCACTCACAGCAACAATAACAGAAGTCTAGTTTGCAAATTTTATTAAGCGGAGAGCCCGTAAGCAAATGATTGCTGCTCTCCGGTTTCCTCTGGATCTCCTAGTGTGGACGGCTGTGTGGCACCACCTGGAGCAAATGCAGGGGGTACCTGAGTCACATTACTAATCAGAGTGACAGCAATGCTAAGGAAACTGGGACTGAATCCAGGCCGCTTGTTAGCCGCAACACCCCGAGTAGAGTGCAGTGTGGACAGCACGGTAGGCCACCGGCCACCGCTGACCGGCTGCAATTTAAGGATTCCTGAAAAGCCTCCTGCCTCACCAGTAACTCCCACCCTGGTCTAGCTCTGTGTCTGACCTTGAGCTCAGCATTGAGCTTTTTCTGGAGCTCCGGAGACTCAGGGAGGTTTACGTAAGGTCACTGAGGATGGTGGGAAGAGCACCGAGCAGTCTCAGGGACTCGTGGGCACTCACTGAAACCACAATACCTCTCCCTGCTTGTGTTCTATATCGGGATTGCAAGTCAAAAATTTTGCATAGGGATCTGGGTGAGAAGACTATTGGGCTCAGACATGTTATCTCAAGTGTAGCAGTCACTTGAATTAAGTGCAATATCCTACAGATGATAATACATGAAGTTAGAGTGCCTTACGTTGTAAAACTAATTTTATTTAAACAATATTGAATTTTAAAAGACTCTCATAAATATATTACACACTTCTGTGCCTTTCGAGGCAGAATAAATAATCCATGATCTGAATTTTCCTTCATAGACCCTGAAATGGGATGCATTTTACGATAAAGAACACTGTCGCTTTTCTGTTTCCTGTTCTTCTGCTGGACTAGATTTCCTTTCACTGGCATTGCGCCTCTCTTTGCTAGCCCTCCAATTCCTAAATGGACTTCCGAAACAATTCATAATAGGAGAAACATAATTAAGGTTTATAATCATATATGCAAGATTAAGTAACTGCATTCTGAGTGAAGGCCTTGGGTTGTTTCTGACGGTAGCAAAATACACGGATTTCAGTCCCTCCGCTGATGGAAACGGTCCCGGTCAATCAGTCTTAACTGCCGACTTCAGGGCTTATGACTGTGTTTCGGTTGGTCAAAGGTCTTCAAAGAGGCTGTATAATCAACTTCTGAGCAGAAATTGTTCAAAACATAGAGTTTTTGTCCTTGGTTAAGTTACAACTTCTATTTGCAAGACTAAATCTGAATACAGCCCTGGCTGGTGTAGCTTAGTGGGTGGGGCGGCATCTGTGCAGACTGAGGGGCTGCCAGTTCGATTCCTGGTCAGGGCACATGCCTGGGTTGCGGGCCGGATCCCCAGCTGGGGGCGTGCAAGAGGCAGCCAGTCGGTGTTTCCCTCACATGGATGTTCCTCTCCCTCTCTTTCTCCCTCCCTACACCTCTCTCTAAAAATAAATAAATAAATATTTTTAAAAACTAAATACAAAGACAAAATTCAGAAATCAAGGCATTGTAAATGCTGTAGGCACTCACTTTTTCTTAGAAAATTCTCATTTAAGCAAACCCTTCACTATGAAAAGTGACTAATCAAGAAAAATCATTGAAATTAATTTAGCAGGTTGGTTGTTATTCTTCATATTAGGGCCTAGTTGTTATAGGGTCTAGCAAAAAAAATAAAATAAAATTTAAACAATAAATATGACCTGGGACCAAAAAATGTTTAAGAATTTATATGAGAAAAATTTAATAATTCACTCTCATCAATGAATTTAAAGGCCAATTAAGCCCGCTGCTTTAAATGTCAAGTACACTTAGTGCCCTTATTAAGGATTTCCTGATTTTGTTAAAGGAAATGCATTATTTTGTCATCATGGGGCAGGACACATCTGTGACCACTGCAGTACAGGATATAATATAAGCTATATCCTCTCACATCATGGCCAACATTTACTTAAGCAATAATAACGCAGTGAGATGCTGTGCTTTTTGATAGTGGGTGTAACCTAACCAGCGGGCCTAAAGGTGACTGCGAGAGAGAACACTCAGGGTCCACTGGTCCGCACGCGGCCCACACTGCAGACGTGGCTGGCGTTCGAAGCGGTAACAGCTCCTCACCAGACTTCAGCTCCTATCTAGGACGGGAATAGACTGCCACAGCCTCAGAGCATTGGAGCTCGGGCTGCAGGTGGGGACAAAAAAAAATCAGAGACAAGCAGTGGTAGAAAGAGCGTCATCGTCCCTGATAAAGGGTTCACTATCTAACCCTATCTCACCCACCCACTTCCTTTGGTCACAAGTTCCTGATCCATATGTACCACCAAGAAAATTATGTTTTCTTTGGTTGAGCAAGAGATGTGATTTTTTGCTAAGTAGCAATGAGTATTTGGTGGTAGTCAATGCGATTTGATAACAAAAAAGAGGAAGAAAAAGAGAAAGGAGAGAAGGAAGGAAGGAAGGAAGGGAAGCCTGGATTCACAGGCCCCTGGTCTGTGAGAGTACGCGGGCCTCCCTCGTGCCTGGGGTGGCTGACGATGACTGGCAGCCCCAGAAGTCTGAACTTGGACCCCAAGAAGCATGCACAAACCTGGCCTTGCCTCTTCCCTGTAAGGTCCATGCCAAACTTTATTTGTCCCTGAAGTGGGACAGGTTATCCTGTGGGCTGACCATCTCTCTCCTGCTGCGTTCCTAAGGACACCTCCCTGCACACCCCAGAGATCAAAAGTGGAGAAACTGGATGAAATACTTAGTCCTCAGAGGCCAGAGGCTTGTGGCGTCTCACTCCAGAATTCCCAGGCCACAGGCTCCCAGGAGCACGGCTTCCGTTAGTCCCGCCCCTATTTCTATGCTGAGGCCCCCGTGAGAGAGAGAGATGAGTGGCCAGGGGCTCCAGGTGGGAACCCAACCAAACAGGGAGCCGGGAAGGACAGAGGGAAGGCATTGTGGGGAATGCACCCGAAGGACCACCGAGGGGTGAACAGCTGGGAAAAGATGGCTGCTGAGGCCGGTGGGTAGACTTACTAACTCAAGCTCCTACCAAGTTGTCCTCTCCCCCATGGTTTCTCAGCCCATTCACCTTCCCCAGATCAGAAGACTCCTGTTGAAGAATAAAACTAAGGGAGGGCTGGGGGTCAGGCAAAGGGGTAGTAGCAAGTCAGGCGAGAAAAACTTTATCCTCTCCTCTCGCTCTGGTATGGACATAAAGCTCAGTCGACAGGGGCACTTTGGGGGAAGGAGTAGAGGTAACGGACAGCAGAGCGCCAACAAGAATGCCTTTTTTTGCCCGTCCAAGGGCTGAGCGAATGGAAGGCTCAGAAGAGTGGAGGAGAGGAAGCTTCCTAAGCCTTTGGGGT